GCCCGACGGTGTCCGCGCGGAAGAGGCGCCGCGACGGCCGACGGAACACGCAGACACCCGCGGGGAGGCCGACTGCGGACGACGATCGTGTGCGTATCAAAATATTATCGACAAATTTACGGCTGAGGGCCCGAGTCGCGGTACCGCGGCCGCCGCCGGGGCCGAGGTCGCGGGGCCCGACGGCCAACGGGAGCGATTCTCGTCAGTCCCGCCCGGCCGCGGGCGTTCGTTACCGGGACGGTTTTAAGCCGTCCGTGTAAATTTCGCGCATTGACGTTTTACAATTCCGCCGCGCATTTTCGAACGTTGCCGTTTATCGTTCGAAACGTCTTAGATACTTTGATCACTTTCGCGGACGAACCGTCGACTGTACGACATGTTTATTTCACGAAAAAAAAAAAAAAAACAATCACAAATTCAATGTCACCCGTCGCGTTTTTTCGGATTCTGAGTGCATCGAAGAACGTATTGGTTTTACCGCGGTGTTTCTTTTTTTTTCTTTTCATCTTTTTTTTTGTTGTGCGCGAAAATTCGAACGTAAATCTTGCTCGGATATGTACGCACGGCATCGTTTCCGAAAGGGAATTCTTGTACTTTTGAGATGGGTCGTTTTTCCGATTTTCAAAACGGTGATCAGAACATCTGGGATAAACCAGAATAAAACGTAAGAAAAACGGGAAATTTTCGAAATTAATGCTGTTACTATTTTTTCAATTTTGTTTTTCGTCGTAATTCGGTGAAATATGTTCGTAGAAACATGAAATGTTTTACAGAAAACTTAAATTTGTCATTCCTGGACATGGTAAAAATTTCAAAAAATTTGAGCCATATTCGAGCTATTTATAGATATTTCAATTTTGCGAATTTTTATTCGGTAGGTACCGAGTGGTAAAATTGTTAGACTTGCAGAAACGCTTGAACATTTGACTGGAGGTTCAATAATGGTTTTTTTTTTTTTTGTACTTATGTATACCGCCGATATCGAGGTACGAAATCGGAATTGAGCGGACTCTTACTAAGTTTTGGAATTAAAACTTTTTGAATTTCCGATATTATGTGGATGTTGTATGTTATTTCAATAACTAGATATATATTGTCTTTGTGAAAATATGTTCGTCGCAGTCTAATGGCTATGCATACCTATTGTCATCTTAGGGATCGCGCGTTCGAACGCGGATTTCGAAAAACCCGTTTGCATTTAGTGTGCCCCGTTTACTGAACAGGGAAAAATCAAACGCATTTAAGGCAGGTGCACCGAGGGTGGGGGAGGGGGCTGCCGAGTCATCGTGCTCGGACTATTTCAATCGAAAATGCCCCTCGATTTGACGTGCGAACATTTCTACCGGAATCTCGCTCGCGTATCGAGTGCAGCTTGTTTTCCGAAAGGAAATATTGCCGCCGTGACAGTTCGGGGTGGTAGTTTCCCGGATTTTTCCAGGAGCGTCCTCAAAAAACGGCGGAAACCGCGGGCTGTATAACTCCTGAGTGTTTTTTTTTTTACTAAACGCGCCGTAACACGTACAGTGTGTTTCCGTCGTAAAATGAAATTAAAAATTAAAACTGGCGTCCGCGACGACGGTCACGGTCGTCGCGCGTACACCGCGATGCGTACTGTCCGGGAATGGGCCCCATGAATGATTATTCGTAAAAAAAAAAAAAAAAAAAACCCATGTCTACAGTATTTACTGCGGGTTTCAGAGTTTTTATGAAATACTTATTTCGAGAAACAATACGGTTTCGCGCACGAACCGCGCAGCTGACAAAAATCGAACGAGAAAAACGTGGACAATCCGCGCAATCCGGTGTTTTAAAATCGGGGGGGGGGAGGGAACGACGCATCGGTTTCCGTCGTTTGGTAATTTTTATGTCCCGTCGCGTTTTACATTTTTGACCGCGGTGGTTACCCGATGATGAATTTTTAATTCGGAACCGGTCGTATAATAACCCTCGTCATTATGCTCCGGGCGACGCATTTATTTATTTATCCATTTTTTTTTTAATTTTTCTATATAAATTTTGTATTTTTTATATATTTATTTACTATACTTATTTACGAGTATTTCATCCGTTTTAATAGTGTTTTTTTACTTTATTTGTTTTATTATGTATTGGTTTTACGACGATCTAGTGTTTTTTTCCTCGGACAACTGCACACTTAAGGGTTTGTAATCCTATCGTATTTTTCGTGTTGCGTTTATGCGAAGACATTCATCACGTTTCTCAGCAATTTCCAGAATGTTTATCATCATTAGTTTTTTCACGCTAACACATTTTCTACTCATTCCAATGTATATGGTGTAGATCATTTGCCGAAAGAGAACAATCTTGGAGTGGTGCTTCTTCGGGGAGGTCATTTTTCGATTTACTCAAAAGTTTTCTCAGCAAATGTGAAAAAACCGTAAAAAAAAAAAAAAAAAACGGGAAAATCGGTACAATATAAAACAAATATTATTAAAGAAAATATACAGAGCCCATTTTATATTTTAACATAATATGATACGTATGTATTGTCGACAAAGCAACTACACTATCAACTGAACTCCAATCGGAATCGTTTTTCGTCATCAAAGGCTTAATCGTCGCTTACAAGTATACATGAAATCACCTATACCAGCGGCTGCACCCGTCTCCATTATCCTACGACAGCTTTTCGTTCAGTCGATTTAGAATTTAAAAATATATACCGGAAGCGTATAATTTTTTTTTATTATTTTGTAATATTGATTGTATATAGTTAATCATAAAAAATTGTTGATATGACATGATACGATCAAGTACGATCAGTAAAAATTTCACATGCTCAACACGACATAATTAAATTAGTATTACAAGTGGATAACGTGCGCGCTATCGGATTTTTTTACAAACTCGTTCCGCGTTATTAGCAACGTTTTGATTTCATAACAGTCGATCGTTAGCCGGCCCCGTCTATTGATTTAGGAATAGTGAAAATATGTTTTCGACGAGCTACTTCAATCATCAATACACAGATTTCCTAAATAAACGCGCGTGTGCATCGAATATATTACTTATTTGTTCTCCGAGTGCTTCTCCGGTTAGTTTATTTGGTTTAGTAAACACATCATCAACGGCCTTTGGGTCAAGTGTAGACATCATTTTTGGTCGATTTCGAATATTTTCAGAAGTCGCCAAATGATTTCGATCAGTTTTTTTGAGAAATCAAGTTTCCCACCGACGATTGTTGTTACGTTGCATTTACAATTCGTACGCCTAATGCGAAATGTTTACTTAGCCTATGCCCCTGTATCGGAACACATGGTGCTGTCACCGTGTCGTAACGCGCGACGAGCGACCGCGGGCTGAAACACGGACACACGGTGCACGATAAATAAGTATGTTGATTTATATTTTATTTTCTTATACTGTTACGATATAACTTTGGAAACCGCTGACGGATTTCTTACGATTACGTTATTATACCTAACTCCGCTCAGAATAGGTTTTTCGTTAGCGGTGGTTAATCGTTAGCAAACGGATAGACATTAAACTACCTATAATAGTGGCTGCACCCGTCCCCGTTATCCTAGGACGTCTCTATTCGAATTCTTACCGTACATAGAATTTGACGGTACGGAGAAACTCTCCTTTAACCCTTCTTTATTTTTTTGGGGTTTGTTAAATACCGTGCGCCGAGATTTCGCGTGACACTACTAGTGATCAAACTATACAACACTTTTATCTCCGTGTATTCGTTATTTGCGCAGTTTCTTATGACGCAACACCGGTTCGGTAAAATAAAAACCATTTATTTAGCTGTTATCTGGTTATGGACCGATTTTTTCAGTTTGTGGGTGTCTCGAACCCCCCGGACACACGAAACGTGTATTATTTTTTAGCTGTTCTCTTTTTTTTTTTTTTTTTTTTTTACGGTAAATAAAACTATATTACAAATTTGCTATAACGCGTTATTTTTCATAATGCATTTCATTTATGGTAGGTAGCGATAAAGAGAATGTTCAGGGCGTAATGAAATTCTCGGTTATTTTAGACGAATCAGTACAGATCGTGTGATTTTTCCGACCTAGATAATTCCGAAGACGATGAAAAAAACGTATTTATTGATAAAAAAAAAAAAAAAAATTCTTTAATGTATACCATTATTCCTACGTTAACGAATCGTTATGCAATTAAATTTGAACGAAGGTTAAACTATTATATCGTAGATTTGATGAGTATTTAAAACTCCGGAGCGTAGTAAACCCCAACACGCCTTGACGCGAAAAATCGTCGACACGCGAACGACGCGTTATTAGTGTTTGTTGTTTTATAGTTTTATTAATTGACAACGACATTGCGATGTACAACTCAAATCCTGAAAGACATTCGGCTACGAAAAACGGCCGTGGTCAATCCGAGGTCCGTAACATTGTGTTAACCGTTTGTTACGTTGCCCGGTTGTTAAAAGTAAAACGAGTCGGTAAAAATCCAATAGGAACGGTCAAAACATATTAAGCCCGGTATTTTCCCGAAACTCTGTGTCGAACCCGAGACACCCGAACCGATAAAGACCGCGAGTCGATATTATTTTCTTGTAAACTATACCCGCGAGAGCTACGGCGCGAATACGCTTTCGGAAAAACGGAAAAACTACCTGGATCGTCCTGGTCCAACTGGTCTTCGTGATCCTGACCGTCTTCCGCGGGATCGGCGCCCGAGTCCGAGCCGTCGGCGTCCCGTTGCGGCGGGTTTCCCGGGGGCGGCGCGCCGCCGTCCGCCGCTCCTACGCCGCGGGTTGTCGGCGCGACCGACCCGTCGCCGTACACGTTGGCCGCCGGCGGATACCGCCGGAACCGCGCCGGGGGCTGATCGTCTTTGGGCGCGGCCCAGCCCGGGTGACAGACGCTGTTCAACGTGACGGCCGTCAGCAGTACCGCGGTCGCGACGGTCGCGACGGTCATTGCGCCGCGGTCTGTCGGCACGGGTGCGGCGGTTGTGCGTGGAGGCGCAGCTGCGGCCCCGGTTACGCGGTTCTCTTAGCGTCTTGGCCGGCGTATACTCATCGACGCGTGCTGGTCTGTAATCAATAACAAATAGCCGCGCGATGTTATTTAGGGCGGCGGTCGTGATGTATACGGTGTACGTATAAGCGCGCGCGTGTGTGGGTGCGCGCGCGAAAAAGAAAGGGGGACGGGAAAAAAAAAAAAAAAAAATGTTTATAACGCAATAACAACCCGATTTTTATCGGTAAACAACCGTTTTTTGGCCGCTAGCCAACTCTGCCGGTGCACCCTCCGCGTCATTACGGACGGGATCGCCGCCGCTCCGCGCGCGCGCGTGGCGGCGGGAGGGGTGCAGGGGAGGGGGGGGGGTAAAACGTCGTTACATACGTGTATACGGATATATACGTGTGCGCGTACACCGTACACAATGCCGGCGTACCACGCGTGCACGCGGGGCGGCGAAGGTGCGCGATCGTCATTAGCGCGACGGCGGCGGCGGCGGCGGTGCGCCGTGCGTTTAGACCGGACATTGCCGCCGCCCGCGAGAGGATATGAGAACGCGCGGGCGACACACGCGCGCAACACTTCCGCATTAAAACCGCTCGCGCTGACGCTATCTCGGTAGCGTCGTCGTCGCCCGCGGTAATAATAATAACAACAACAACAACAACAACAACGACGACAACAGCAGCAACGCCGGCGTGTGTGTTGCGTTCGTGTCCGCGCGAAAGAAAAACGTGGACGGGCGGACGCGCGCGGGTCGCACACGTCACGCGCATTGTTCGCGCTTGTCACGCCCGACGGCCCGCGCGGGCCGGGTGGCGGCGGGATATTATATATGACTTTTATCCGCCGCGCGGTGCGTAACGAGTTGCAAAGTTACCGGCGACGCGTACGCGGAACGCGGGGACCCCGGCGGCGGCGGCGGTTGTTGACGGGGCTCTCGATACGCGCCCGATACGCGCGGACGTGGCGGCCGAAATCCCGCGGGCGCGGGTCGGCGACGCGGACCCCGGCGGCCGGGGGCACGTCCGGCGGACCGCGACGCGGGAACGCGTCGGCGGCGGGTTTTCACGACTTACGTTCGTGTCGTTATTTTTTTTATTTTTTTTTTTTTTTTTTCGCTTTCTGTAAACGGTTTTTCTACCGGTTTTCAAGCTCCGGGTGCGGAGTGTGGCGCGTGCGTCTTATCCGATGTGCGTTGTTTTTTTTTTTCTTTCGATTTTCCGACCGGTTTGAAATCAAAATATAATCCGCGGAAAACGTACGTTGTCGTTTCAAGTTTTTTTCAAAGCGTTCGTAAATACTCGAAACTCTGGCGGAAAACCGGTCGTAATAATTTTTATATCGAATTTTGACGAAAATCGTTTTGCGTAAAAAATTATGTGGAACAAATCTAATTTTCCACATTTTTTTTTTTTTTTTGAATACGTGCATATTGCCGATTTAGGAACAATAGTGAAGTCAGAATTGAACGGACTTACTAAGTTTCGAGATTATAGCTTTTCGAATTTCTAATATTATTATGTTTGGGGTTGCCGCACAACAAACCCAAAAGGTTCCTATTTCAAACTGTTAAAAACAACCATCGCATTATTCTCAATCTCCCAAATCCGACCTACTGGTCATCCTCTACTGGTAAGCGTCCGTACATTTTGGATACCTTCTAACTCTAATCATTCAATAAAGAGTTTAGTTGACCCTTGTATTTACCATTCCCCTGTTTTCCTTTCTCTGGATTATATTTCTTTCTGCCGGTCCAGTAAAACATGTCTAACAAATGGCTCCAAGAACTGAACTAAGTTTCGTGAAATTCCTGATCTAAAAATTAACCCAAACACTTCTCTAAAGACTCTTGATGCCATCCAAACCTTCATAGAATCCGTCTTATTGGCTGCTTGGAATTCATCCACCTCGCAAAGTTACCATGCCAACTATCCTTCAACTTCCACCCATGTTCGCGAACTTATAACACAAAAACGCCCCAAGCCAGAGCTTGCTGGCAACGTACTAGACATCCGTTCGACAAAAACACATTAAACAATTTCGCCTCGACTCTCAAACGTATGCTAAACAAACTAAAACTCGATTCTTTCTACAACTGGACCTCCTCTCTGACGGCAAAAAATGGATCTCTTTCAAGAGCTACCCGCGGTTGCCTTAAGCACACAAACATCCAAGCTCTGTTTAAAAATACCGGTGTAAAGTTGATAAAGATCAAGCAGACACTTTTAGTATGCACTTCTCGAAAGTCTCGGAACCTTACAACTATAGTGGCAAAAACGTTCATGATAAAAATATCGAAAACTATCTTTCTTCTGCTTTACCTATTTATCACGTTCCACAACCGTTTTCTCCAGGTGAAATCCAATACTGTATTAAATCATTTCCTCTTCACCTGGATCTGATCTTATTACCGCTGTGGTTACCTGTCAACTCTCTAAGAAGGGGCACTTGTTCGTGCAATCCACGTTCTTAATGTAATTTTAAGAATATTATCATACTCCTCTCTCCAATGGAAAGTTTCAGTAATCATCTTATTCCCAAAACTCGGCAAACCCCCGGACATTTCTTCCTTTTAGAGAGCATCAATTAACTATATAGATTATAACGTCTTTAAACGGAATATTATACAGGCGCCCTTTTAAAAATGTAATTTCATCATAATAATACATTATCACCATATAGTTTACCGAGTTTCTTCGAAAGCTATTGGTCCAACTAAGTCCGATTACGCGCTACAGTATCACCGGTTACGACGGCGTGTGAAAAATAATCAACTGTTCGCGTGTAATCAAACTTTCAATATTTCACTTCGAAATTGATTAGCATATAATAACAATATTACCTGATATATTATACACTTTCGGCGATGTAATAGCGCAGGGATTTTCGAGACCGTGGCACCGTTTTAGTTGTTTAAGGTTTTAAGTTTATTTGGGGCAGGCAACGTAGGTGACGGTGGCGGTGGTGGTGTTGCAGGTACAGTTATTGGTGGTCGGGCGGACGACGAACGAAAATATTATGTTTACCTTTCGACAAATTTTTAAGCCCGTCGAGACGCTGCATAAGCGCCACGGTTTAAGAGGACGTGCTACCTCTCGCATTCAAGGGGTCTCGAAAGATAGGCCGTAGGAACCCTCACGACGACGTTTTTAAAAAAGTGATATTTCATCAACTCGAAAAACGTTCACAATCACATTGAAATATATTGACGAGCGGTCTCGCGTGATATTATCACATAGTAATACATTATCACTATAATTGCATAGTAAAATTTGCGTTATTAATGCAATTGTTTTGTATAAATAGATTACAACACGTCATTTTATTTTCATTTGTTTAAATATTGTTTTAAAAAATCGGTTTTGTTTTGAGAAAATGAATTGGGTTCTAGGTTTTGTTTATGAGTGGAACCATAAGTACTGAATCCAAACTGTGGGACATCATGTGGTCAATCAACTCTTGGTTGTATTTTAACGCAATCTCAGATTATACGTTTGTCGAAATGAGAAGTTCTACAGGTTTGTGGTGTGGGAGAGTCCTCCTCATTGGCCACTAATATTTATTGTTTGATGGTGAAACTAACAATAGTTTTCGCGAAAAACGGTTTCACGGGAGTGAAAACTACTCAGGTTATGGATAAACCAAATGTCCATTTGCATTGTGCAACGTTATTTTTACTTTTAGAATCTGAGTGGAACGAAGAAGCTTACGGTTTTACAAAGTTGTAAAAGATCCACAAAAATGTGGGCAACTTTTCTACCAGAGGATTATCTTCAATTTTTTTACGTGTAGCACCTTTTCTAAAAGGAAATTTCACTGGGAAGGTACTTCGAATACGTAATTTTTTCTATTTTCTCGGGAGATTTCTCAACGGATGTAAAAAACCGGAAAAAAAAACCCAGGGAAAACTTGTCTATACGCGATTTGGCTCCAACTTATAATGATAGCTATTTTCTAATCGTTTTTTCGTAAGCAATGGTTTACGTTGCACATTAAACTATCTATAACAGTGGATGCACCCGTTTGTTTGTTTTTATTGGTTTTTCATCAAAATATATTTCATTGATTCTGTAAATGAATATCTGAAAATAATAAGAATCCAATTGGTCCGTAAATTATTTGAAGGAAAATATTATGATTGCACAGTGGTAATGAAGGTTGGGTAATGGGCTTTACAAGACTCGCCGTTACAGTAAAAAACAAGTTGAGCGTAAACTAGTCGTTGTTTTTTTTTTTTTTCAAATAATTATTTCGAGTTTAAATTATGACGAAAATAGTAAATATTGCGACAGTTCAAAATCGTGTTCAAGTGAACGTCGCTCAGAACGGTGTTTCGTTAGCAGCGATTTACCGTCGCAGACGGATAGAGATATTGAACGACCGCAGTATGGAACCTACGTTCCCGACTTCCCGTCTACAGCATGCGACCACAACCGTTGTGTTTTTTTTTTTTATTTTTTTTTTATTTAACGCTAAAATCAAGTTTGTCCCCTACACGTTGTATACAACGGTACTAACGACACTCTCTACATTATCGACGTCTGTTTGCGATATTCTCGACTCCGAAATAATAATAACAACAATAATAACATATATCACCGTCAATGTTATTATTAATTTTATACCGGGCCGTAATATCGTATGTGTATACACCATACGGCAATGTTCGATATAAATGATAAAATCGACATCGTCGCACTGAAAACGGTACGTTTAACAAATAACGCGCGCGATAAATACTGTATCGCATTACGTTGTGTACTATGGCCGAGCGGCCTAATGAAATATAGTACAACGGTAATATACGAGATATTAATAGAATATTTAATTAATTTAATGTTTATAAAGCGATATGTGTGTGTGCGTATATATATTAATAATAATAACAATAACAAAGCGAATCCCCCTCGCCGAAAAATATCGTCGGACAATCCAATAAAATAAATTCGATATATTATCATTATGTTGCAGTAAAAATCGTCATCCGCGATCGCTGTACTGTTTTTTTTTTCACTACGAATCGTATTTGCAGTAAAAAAAAAAAACAATACGTTTGGTCGCTTGATTGTCTTGGACTTTTACTAGAAACGTTTAGTTTGTTCGCCTGTCTACGAGTGTGTTTGGTTTCTCTTATATTGTCGAACAGCCGACGCATTGAACTCCTAATGCCATTTTTTTTTTATATATATAATTATTAAAAAATATGGCGCACCGACCACCAACGGATAGACCGCTGTCGTCCGGAACGCATAGAACAAACAAAATTGTTTAGTTTATGTATGCTGTTTGCTGTATGCAACGAACCTCCTGGCGGCAACAACCGGACGTAGTATCGGACATTTGGCGAATATCAGTTTTTCAACTATTATTATTTACAATGACAGTATACGTCGATTGGCGAAACAGCCAGACGAATCTGACCAATAAATACCGAGACGTTGTACAAAATGGCAGCGATTGGTTTTAATTGTGTTGCAACAACAAGACATATCCGGGGTCGCACCAAATGTCGGTCATACCGGCTCTAATTTATGATTACGTCTTATATTCTACATTTATAAATTACTCGCTGTTCCGCCCGGCGTTGCCCGTGCCAAATAATGTGTAATAGAAACGATTTCTCCCTAGATTTCCCCCTTGTTTCAATCTCCGTCACTGTTACTGCGGTTAACCGTTGTCGCCCTTAAACGTTTCAAAGTAAATTGTCTTTATTTTTATTTTCAAACTTATATTAATTAGCTACATGATTGCTCAGCAACGAAATATATCCGATACGTTTACTTTACGATTTCGTTTTCGGAAATTTCGAAACACTGAACTCTGTTTGAAAATTGATGCGAGAGGCGTGGAGGAATAAGCCCTCTACGGGTTGGGGGTTGAGTTCGATATGTGCTGCAAAGGACGCTAATTTATTTATTTTTTTTTTTTGGTCCCTTTTCTTTTACTTTATCAGTTCGAGCACCGAGTCTTTTGGTAAATACGCGAAACATAAAATTTACTCGAGAATTATGTCTATTAGTATATTATTTGCATCGCGTACGCGCTACGCGCGCGGTACTGCGGCGGACGACCCCGCCATAACCGGCCGACCTAACTCGACCTAATCGTCGGTTCGCGATAAAAAAAAAAAAAATCACCCCGCATCGCTAATTATTATAATTTTGTGTTTTCAACCACCCCGGACGCGAGTGTTACGTAGGCATGTGGGGTAGCGCACGCATACGTATATACGCGCGCCGTATACGTGTATTGGATTACTTTTATTACTTATGTATACGCGTGTTGTATACGCGTGTGTGTACGTTCGCCGCTCTTGCGGTCGCCTTCGCCCTTTTGCACTTACGTGCGCGCCGCCGAAATTCCGCCCGCCGCCCGCGACCCCGCGGCCGTCGGTTTCCGCACTCCCCGACACCGCGTCCTCTCCTCGCGCGCGCGCGCGTATTTTAATACTAATGTATTAACGTGTACCTATATTATAATAATAATAATAATAATAACAACAGCAGCAACAACTATAAAATAAGGTAAATACTAATAATATTAGTGACGGTCCCCGGAGAACTTAACGCGGGCGCGCGCGCGCGCGCGCTCTCTCGGTCCTCGCGCCGTGGATTATGCGGTTGATACTCGTATAATAATAATAATAATGATGATAATAATAATAATAATAACAACAACAACAACAATAATTATTGTTATTATTATTATTATTATTATAATGCGCTTTTGCCTCGGCAAAAGCGCGCACACCTACGGCGTCCGCGCGCGCACGGCGCATAATATTAAACCCGAATCGCCGCCCGGTGCCGTTATGGTATTGCTGCTGCTGCTGCTGCGATTAGACCGTATCGACGTGTCGGCACATCCCGGAATCGCGGGCAACTGCGATGTCCCGCGGCGGGGGCGGCGGGGAGAAATTCCGCGGACGTTGCGCTACGTTCCGTTATTGTACTCCGCGGTGTCCGCGGTCGGGCTCGGTTCGTCGGGGCCGCGTTACCGCGCGGATACCGTCGCGGTGTCCGGGCAACGGTCGACGAAGCCTACGGACCGGCTACGACTCGTATTGCGTTACGAAAAACAAAAAAACAAAAAAAAAACAAGATTCACTTCGCACGGCAATCGGGCCGTAGTATTTACGATTCGTAAAACCGTCCGGTTTCGCCGACGTCTGTTCCCGGTTTTTTCCATTTACTATGAAAACCCCAGTGATAATCAAAAAAAACCACCTCGTCAACTATCCCCTTCCCGCGAAAAAAATCCCTCGTAGAAAACGTGCTACACTTGATACTTCGGTGCAAGATTTCTGGTAGAATTTTCGTACACAGTATTAAAAAAAAAAAAAAGGGGGAGGGAAATAATCATTATCATTGAAAAACCAATTCTCTCCCCGCTCCGTTCAGAATCAAAAAAAAAAAAAAATAAAGAAAAAAGTCAAAGAACAACTCGGTTATTTCTTTTAATAAATAATTTTCACTCCGTTTAGTCGTTTTGTAAAATGTTAAGTAATTTCTATTAAAACAGCAACGCGTCTTATGGCCTATGCTTAGTGTACGGGAGTCTCGTATAATAGGTACGTCTATAAAAGTTTGGAAATATAAGTGTACGAAATACGCTTTTGAGTGTACAATGTATATAACGTGTACATACTATATAGTCGAGAGTGCGCAAAAATTAAGTAATAGCTTTTTCGTTATAAACTTAGAATCTAAAATGAAAATATGGTGTATGCGACTATAGCGGAGAACTGAGCACTGAATATTACCGAAAAGCCGGAAAAATTCATATCAATAATCAACGGTGGAAATGAAATTAGTTAATAATTTGTTCGTGCGTTTCAATGGATTTTTAAGATTAGAAACCGTTATTATAGACGCTACGTCGTCGTATTGAACATACGAACATTGGAGCTGTTCGTAAAAAATCAAAAAATAAACTATAGTTTTAACCGCGGGCGAAGTGTGTTATCGCATTATGCATTTCGACCGAGCGGTTTGACGTATTTTTCGTTAACGTTTAACCAAAGGCTCTGTTCTTCTCTTTTTTTTTTTTTTTTTACTCACCCCGCCTTGAAAATAATAAAACCGTATCTATTACGGGCGCCGTCGCGAGGCAATAAACAAAAGCGAAATCATAATACGATTAAGTTACCTATGTGTGCTTAAAAATTGCGTACATAATGTAATATCCGTTGATATACCGCGATAATATAATAATAATACCACCACAACTATAATATAATATGATTGCAATAATACGCATGTCTAAACGTTAATGTTGCGGCGAAACACGTTCGGTAAAAGCGTATCGCGGTGGGAAGTGGTTTACGACGGCGGCGGCGGCATGGCGAAAAGCCGTAATATAACAATGACGGCGGCGGCGGCGAGGTAGTAAAAAAAAAAAAAAAGGAAAAAGAAGGGTGGGGGGCGAAAAAAATAGTACTAATAACTGTATATAGCAAGAGACCAGTAAAATAATAATCGTAAACATAGTAAGTGTAATATATATATATAAACACATGCATACATACGTCCGGGGAGGGGGTGTGGTAAAAAATTATTACGAAAAGCCAGGAGATATTATATTATTATATAGGCAGCGTGAAGGTATACCGCCACCCATAATAATAACATTAACGCGGCGAGCAACCGCCGTTATTCGAGTGAAAAAGTTTTTCTTCTCCGGGTCCCGGACACATTCTGCCGCGAGACTGTTATTTTTTATACATATATAATATATGTACATGTATTTCAATTTTCCGGTTAATACCAACACCTCCCACCCCGACCGTCGACCTGACCCCGCGCGCGCGTCACGATACAAAACGCGGTTGGCCGGTCGTATAAAACATCGCCGTACGGCGGGTACAAGACACGAGTTATTACGGTCGTTTTTTTAAACGTGCGGACTATTGCGGGAGAAGTGTACGCGGACTATTATTCTTCTGCACACGGCCATCGGCTTTTCGATTGGCCGATCGCGTCGCAGCGCTCCGTGATTGGCCGTCATAACTCAGTTGTCCGTCAGCCCCGGACAACTTTGCGCCGCCGGTCGGCCGCGTCCATCAGAACTCGCCGTACGTGTTCCGTCCTCGGTCCTGCTCTTTCGCACACCGCGCGGCGTTCGACAAATCGTTTTCGGCAAACAATCAATGGCGCGCGGTGGACGGGGAAACTGTACGCGGATTGTTGGAACAGCCGCAGTCCGTTCTACGGCCGCCGCTGCGTTGTATACTACGTACCTCCGTAACATTTTTTCATTCCACCGGGTAACATAATATCAAACGGTGTTTTTAAAATGTCAAACGAACGGCTCCTCAGCAACGAGAATACGAGATGCGTAATCGTGAAATCGATCGGGTGTTTAAAATCGAAAACCGCGAGTCGGAATATTGAAATTGTTAAACGGGTTCGGCGAAAACCGTTTAAGATTCGGAGCGAAATGAGAGACGTATATTGGTTTTACAATGTTGTTTATTTTATTTTATTTTTTTTTTTTCCCAGAAATTTTACTCCACTTTTCGTTTATAGCAATTTTTCGATTTTCCCCAGAAGTTTCCCAAAACAAATGGGAAAACAGGGAAAATCGGTACAATACTAGACAAGTATAAATTTTAATTTAAAATTTAAAAAATTTAAAAACGTATATAACGCTTAGGTATGTAGTTATTTTGTTCAAGTGGGGCGTATATATATATTGTTGTTGACAAAGCAATGTTTTCAACTGAACTCCGCTCAGAATGTTTTATTAGTAATTCGTTGAATACAGCTGATATACATTAAATGTCCCCCTCTACCTCCCCGAATTCTAACCTACAACAGTGACCCGCCCGTCGTGCCAAGTATGTCCGTATTTAATTTAAAAGCGCCTTTATCCGGAAATATAAAGTCAAATGTCGGTTTTTCAAAAGAAAAAGAAAAACCCACCGAATATACTGAACAACGGCCGATACACGATGTCGATTTGTGCCGATATACTCGTCACTAATCGTGCATGTATCGTCAAGTTGGCGATATTTGATGATTTAAAAAAACGTTTATGTTTACGGCTCTAAAGAAGACTATATATACAATACTATTGTTATAACAGTACCCATAGATATTTGTGAAATTAAATTTATGCAAATCATTTTTTTTGTTCTACGTTTTATGATTATATAAATGACAACCCCTATAAAATTCCGAGCACAGCGTTGAGGAAGTTATTAACTTCACAGTGATGTGTGCTTTTTTTCCCTCTCTCTAAAAAAAACTCTTTATATGACAATACAAATAGTTTAACAGTTCCGTCTTATACATAAATTCTTATAAAAAAAAACGTATTTGATTTAATACATTAAATGTATGTAATTGAACTAAGTCTATTATACTTTTCTCAGAAGTGTCGCTATTTATTTCATACTATAAAGAAAAATGTCGTATAACAATATACAATTTTTTTTTTTTAAAACAACTAAACAGCTAGTACAACGAGTATAGTACAAGTACTTTAGCGGATACACATGGCATTGTAGTAAATAATTAATTTTGATGCACTGCTCCTCTTTATTACGACTTAAATGCGCATAAACAGTCGATTGTTAATTCGTTATAAATACCGGACCAAATGAGCGCGATGTTATTTTATCGTTATAAAAGTAAAACAGAATTTGTCGCCATAAAAAGCCATAAACTAAAATATATATGAAATTAAGTAAATACAAAACGGTAAAAAAAAAATGTAATGTGTTGCAAAAAGGCAGTGCAAAAAAAAAATTGTATACACATAATATATAAATTATATTTAAAAACAGTGTCTGAAAAAACGAAGTTTTTTAGTAGCAAAAAAAATCACCCTGCGTATAGCGGTGAAATTTTACTAATTAATTTGAATTTTAAACGAATCCCATTTTATGTATGTAAAATTGCATTAATGAAAAGAATATTTTATTCAAATTCGATACATAATACACATGTATAAATTTATCATAATTATAGGTATGTATTTTTAATTCATTTATACATTTGTACAATGAATTTAATATAATTTTTTTAAAATTTGTAAAAACTACGCTATTTTCACGCTGTCATTTCGATTTTGTTGGTTATTATTGTTCTCGGTGATAGTTAATAATCGTTGAGTTTTCACCGAATACTCGAGATTTTATTATGAACGTGACGGTAAAATTTTTAATACATTTCGGCGGGGTTGTAAGTCATTATTATGATGTCTATTTAAAATTGCCTATTTTTTTTTTCGTTGGTTGTATGTGCATGTGTTTTTTTGTTTCTATACGATCGTTCATAGGTTCAAACGTATGATTAAATTCGTTAAAAAAAAAAAAGAACAATATACGTATTTTAATTTATTTCCAATTTCAAACTATCAGATACCTACATATTGTAATGTAACAACTGTCGGAAAATATTTGCGGTTTTTTTTTTTTTTTTGTTTTTTAGTTTATCGCGTTCGCTATAAATATTGGTCATCGTGTATCGTTAAAAAAATTCATACAAACCGACGACGATCGGAAAATAAAAACAGTCGAATTCTATACAACATCGCGTTTTAGATAATATTTTTTGTTATTCTTCGTCGTACGCCTTATGTGCGACGTCTATTTGTGTGTTTCTATGCATGTGTGTGTATGCGTGTGTGTGTGTGTGTGTGTTTGTGTGTGTGTGTGTGTATGTGTGTGAAGGGGCGTGCCGGGGGAGTGTTTTCGGGGTTTCGCACACCCCCTATACATTATATATAATCAACCTATCTATAAACTGTCTCTGGCTTATAACAATAATAATTACTATTATATTTTTTTAACGAAGAGTGTTGCATTATTACTATAAGTTTTTCTTTTTTTTAATATCGTACGAGACCCGGCCGTCACCTCTTTCTCCTCGTAAAAAAAAAAAAAACGAAATTCTCGGCACGCCCCGCTATACGCGGTGTGCACGTGAGTTTTAAAATAATATTATATAGAACTCCGCGTATAGCCATCAAATAAAAAGCTGCAATCGTTAATCATTTTATAATAATTATTATTACACGTACTTAAAACTTTGGAGGAAATAAATATACGGTCGCGTATTATTATATTATAGACGTGTAAAATTATTATTACAACGGCGCTATGTTATACTTGTTTGTTTGGTTTTTTTTTTTTAAGTAAGTTCATTAGAAAGTTTAAACTTATAAACACTCGCGGTGTAGGCCATCGTCGTTCTGTTATTGCACGCGAAAATATATATAAGTAATAAAATAAACAGTTATCAATAGTTGTTTTTAATGTTCTACCGCTATCACAACCTAACCCAACCCCTCCCCCCCTATATAATAACGAACAGCATAATAATACTGTATATTATAGAACGAGGGCGTAATAAATCCTACTTTTACACGAGCGTACCTTAACTTTTCCCGGCGCGGTCTTCGAAAAAAGGACCTCTTATTTCCGAATTAATAATTCCGTCGCAGTAAAATCCCAGTCGGCATTATATTCTATGTGTAGCGATAAACGTATATTTTTGTTTTATTATGGACGGCATATGTGTTTTCTATCTGTAATCAACTTTTCTACTAGGAATATCGTTCTGATTTGCAAGTGTACCGTATCTTCAAAAAGCAAATCGTATCTTGTTGTACGTTCAGGGGATCGTATGTTGATCTCCCCTCGGGAGTATTCCGAATAATTGATAAAAACCGGTTGGGAGGCGTTGGAAAAACGGGAATTGTTTTCGAATTTTTATTTTCCGATTATTTAACCGTATATTTTCTTTAAGATTCTGAGTGGAGCGAAAAAGCTTATGGTCTTACAAAGATGTAAATAAATTTTCTATCAAAAGAATTGCTCGGATTTCGTAAATAACAATTTATGCTTGCATTGTTGCTTACAAGTATACATTAAGTTATCTATAACAAAGTCTGCACCCTTTCCCACTATCCTAAGACGTCTAATAAATTATTTGTAATAATTTAATTTGCGGTTTTATCTAGAGTTTTATCATCTAAATAGAAAAACCGAAAAAAAATCGGAAAAATATATGAAATACATTACTAAAATATTACTATTTTTTCTCCACAAACTTTTTAACCAGCAATTTTGCTCCAAATTTTAATGACAGCAATGTTTCTAAAAGAAAATTTCACTAACGAAATAACTTAGAGAGGTAATTTTTCGATTTTTCGAAATTGGGAAAATTGGTACAACATTAAACGAATATTATCAAAGAAAATATATAAAGTCTATTTAATTATTTTACTATAAAATGACATATAGCATTATATACTGACAAAACATAAATGTCGACTGAACTCAGCTCAGAATCGTTTTTTCGTTAATCGCTCTTTACAGGTACACACATTAATTTATCTATAACAGTGGCTGCACCCGTCCCTATTATTCTATGATCTCTTTTTAATTACAATTTTATAATTGATCTGTATATTTTAAGAAATCAATAAAATGTATAAATGTAAAATATTGAAGTATAAACCCGAAAGTTTTTATATTTAACTGTGATTGCATACAAATTGTTGTAATTTAGAATCTAGTTCAATTCTAAAAAAAAAAAAAGGCCATAATATTTTTACCTAATATCTACATGTCTTATATTTTAAATTCCGATCGTAGCGAGGGAGCTATTGGTTTTACAATGCTGTTTATTTATTTATTTTTTTTCTTCTTCTTCTTTTTCTTTGTTCTAGACTGTGAACACGTTTTTTCCTAGTAAACTTGCGCCGATTTTTACGTACAGCAATTTTTCTAAAAGCTCAAGTTGTCTAGATGGTACTTTAAAAAAGAGGTAATTTTTTAATTTTCGACGTCATTTTTTAAATAAAAGCACTTGGGGAAAAACTTAAGAAAACGTACAACTTAACGATTTCATTATTTTATAAAAGCGCAGACAACATTCTTAAAACTTTTTGGCGATTTTTCAGCTGTTTGACATTTCGGTCGTCAAAATCACCGCAAATAATTACATGTTTAACCGAACGTCTCTCAGAATCGTATTTCGTTGGCAACGTTTTATCGTCGCGAACACACATTAATTTCATATGACTCTATATGCGTCCTACCTTCCTGACTCGATCTCCCGCGATTTGAACAGCGGCAAACTCGTCGGCACATTAATTCAGTTTTTCTTTTCTACGCCCACGGCAATTATTTTTCTCGTTCCCCGTGGCCTATGGTTCGCGAAGATATATAAATAAAAACGGAAAAAAACAGTTGCCCATAATTTATAAATATTCCGTACAAGCTAATAAAGTATATTATTTACGTGTACACGTTATTATAATATTAATAATTAATAATAAAAAAAAACCGTTGAAAAAGTACAGGTACGATATTGTATATTATAGTGATGAGCGCGCCAGCCGCCCGATTATTAAAAAAAAAAACACAGACGGAATGCAAATGCCTATAGATAAAATGATGTTTGACCGCGTTAGGAATAGGTATATCGGTGAAGCTGAAACGCGGTACAGGAGAAAACGCGAAACTCGTGATAATAGCGTCGCCGGCGCCGTAAATTATAAACTGATGGGACGCGCGCGTGTTGTTGAAAATTTAAATATCGCGCGGACCGAAAGACAGACCACCCCCCCCCCTCCGCCCACTCGCCAGAAATCGCGACTTACCGCGAAGAAAAAAAACTGTTCGATATTCTTTCATATAACACGGGTTGCTTTCACGCGGACCGCGTATACCGCAATAATACTATCGCAATGTGTTAATTATTGACGACGACGACGACGACGACGACGCGCAATAAATAATCCGCGATTACTGTTGTTTGATAACGGATATATTTTAATCGAAAAATAAAAAATCAAAAAAAAAATTGTTTAGATTAATTCAAATTAAATGTTTACGAGATAAAATACGACGGCGGCGGCGCTTCACCCCGCGCGAATAAATGTATTTATTATTATTTTAATTTATGTATATTTTATATAGGTATATGGCGTTGTTTTACTATACATTTGTTTAACATCGTAATGTTTAATTACAAATTGCTCCGTACCATGGACATTTTAATTCGTTTCAATGCAATCGTATCACTGTATCGTCGTCAAAAAACAAATTCAAAACGTTGTTTACGTATAAACAAACAAAAAACAAATAATGAGCTGATTCTGCAGACGGGCGCTGTTATTATCCGTAGATAGACGATTGGTATATAGATTATTTTTATTTATAACTGCGACCGTAACTCATTGCCAACGGAAAACGATTCTAAACGGAGTGTTCGTTCCCGAACGTGTTTTGCTTGAGAAAGCCGTGGTTTTCGAACCGCTTGAAAAACAACCGCATTTAGCTCGACTTTTTTTTTTCGCCGCCAATCGCAACTTATAATGAACCTCGTGTTGAATTTGGCGAACGCTTCTGTTGGGCCGAACAATTTTTTTTCACCGCGTAAAACCAAATGGATGACCATGAAAAATAAACTCGAAATTATCAAATGCCTTTAAATATAACGCGGAAATATTGTGAAATTTACAATGCGTCCCGAGGAAGCCGACACATTTAGTATTTCGTCGACATCTCATATGTGTACGATTATTTTTAACCGGATCGCAACGCCGGACAGAATTCGAAAACAACGAAATCATTACCGGCCGAAGACTTTCCCCGTTTTCTTACGATATTTCCCGATCGTTTAAAAAACTATTCTTATGCACCGGGGTTAGACGAAACGTCCGGGCAGAAAAGGCGTTCGGTATGCTCGTAAAAAAAATGGTTTCCGGCGTATAAAACAGAAAACGATATAGAGCGGTAATGCCGCGGCGAGCCCGTAAATATTTGTCCGTTTTTCCCGTGCGTTTCCGCCCCGGCCCCCGCCAGCCGGTTTTCCGCTGGTCGTGACGGAGAGCGCGCGGGAAAATCGCGGAAATAAAAAAAAAAAAAAAAGTAAAAAAATCGCCCCGTCGGCGCGACGAAATAGTTTCCGGGGATTTTTCGATCGGGGCGAGACTTCTCGGGGCGGCGGCCGAAAAGCCGGCGATACAAAACAACAAAAGCCGGCGCACATATATTTACGGCGAGACCGGCGCGATCGCGATCCCCGAAATGTGAGTGATTCGCGAGAACGGTAATAATAATTCATATCGCAACAACAACAACAATAATAATAATAATAATAATATCGGAATTCGTTGTTACGGGACGAAAACGAATTGAAACCGGAGAGCGCGCATTACGTATTTACGCGATAAACGACATTGTTACGCGGCGTGTGCGCGTACGGCCCGGCGTGTCCGTTCGCACACGCGTCCCGCCGTTCTTTCCGCCGAGAACGTCGGCGTTTTACTGAAAAATTATAAATTATTACCGCGTGTCGTCGAATTTAATATTCGCCCGTCTCGTCCCGTCCGCGTCCCCGCGCGTTTGTCGTACGCGGGCGCGTCGTAAAAAGTACGGTTCGTAATTATTATTATTATTATTATTATTATTATTAAGGTGTGTCCCGGGTCCGGGCGTACGCCGGCCGCGGCGCCGCGCGTAAATAAAATATTCTATTAAACCGCGGCGGGCCTGGTGCCCGTCCGTCGCCCGACCGCCGCGCGCCGCAACAATTTTCAAGACGCTCGCGGAATTAAATTGCGATATCATCCGAATCGCTTATTATTATTATCATCGTCGTCGTCGTCGTCATTGACATTATTGCGCCGGGTACGCCGGGCGACCGCTTTATGAATTTATAACGTTTTATTATGATACGCTCCTGCGTCCGCCCGCCAGCCGGTGGCGATAACGTTCCGCGGTCGGAAGACCGACGCGGCCGTCGTCGTCGTCGTCACCGCGGCAATACGTTATGATAATATTACGACGAGTGGCGAACGACGGCGGAATAGGGGTAGGCGCGGTATTTACGCCGCGCGTATTACGGAATACAACGTGTGTGTGTGTGTACATGAATATAAGTATAAACGTAAAAAAAAACAAAAAAAAAAAATTGTCGCGAATAAAATAACGATATTAATATTATATTGACCTATCCTCCGCGTCTATCCCGTCGCCGTTATACACGTACATAATTTAATATTTTTTTTTTATATATTTTTTTTTTTTCTACTATTAAGGCACCTATAATAATATACCGGCAACGGTAAACGGCCACGTCCCGGGCGTTGCGCCGCGCGCGCGTCGCCGAGACGCGGCGGCGGCGATACTGCACAAAAGAGAATAATATAGTAGCTGTAATACGCGAATACGTCGCTAGCCTCTTTTTATTTATTTTACTTTTGATTTTTATTTCTTTTTCTCCTTTTTTTCATTTTTTTTTTTTTTTTTTTTTTTTTTGCGGGAGCCGCGTGCTTTTATTATATGTACGGGGTATATACGAGGGGATGCAGCGGGAAATATACAGCGCGTACAGCGCACCAGTACCGGTACACTGGTATAATACTAGTGTATATACAAACTGCGTGTATATACATATATAGGCGGCAGTATAATAATAATAACAAGTGCGAATCTCTACTGCGTGTTTCCGTCGTCGTCGTCGTCGTCGCTGCAACGATAATAGTAATAGTAAAGAAATAAAAGGCGAAAAAAAAAAAAAGTTTAAAAGAAAAATAATAATAAAAAAAAAAAAAAGTTTTTATTATTATTATTTTTTACGTGTAGTATATTATTATTATATGGGTATAGTGTTAAGGTAAGTATAATAACACAACACGTATATATTATAGCGTAGTTGCAGTAGTGTAAGTACAGTAACCGACCGGGAGTCTTTGGCCGGCAGTAAACGTCGTCGGCGTATTTATAGTCAATGGTTGTAAATAAAAATCAAAAGTATCAGGGAAACTCTGCAGAGTTCGGTCTATAGTTACGACGACCGACCGACCGACGTGGCCGTTACACTGCTATAATGTTTTAATACGCGAGTTCGCACGAAAGTATAAAACAAGAGCGACTGTGCGAGACTCGAGACAGAAAATGCGCGTCCCTCGCATTTTGACAATGTCGAATCTAACCCGCGGGCGGGGGACATTGACCGCGGCAGGTAAACGTACCTCGAAAATATTTTGTGATTTATTTATAAAAGAAAAAAAAAACAAAACAAAATGCCCCGCCACATCCCGGCCGAGTTATTTCGATTTCTTCATACACGCGCGCCAAACATTGTTTCACGTGTACCTTCGGCGAATTACCCAACTGTGTTTGACGTCGGTCAAATGGCTTGTACATGTTATTGCGCGAGAGGGGGGGGGGGCAAAGAAGAATAATACGCACGCGACAATCGTTCGGTGTTCAATATTAACAATTTTAGCCGACGGTGCGTGTTTTTTTTTACGTTTTTTAGAAACGAAGCGTAACGTGTGGGATCTATTAGTTTGTACTGTAACGCGGGTGGTTTTTTTTTGTTTTTGTACTAGCCACTTTATTACCGGAAAACTCACTCCGAAGTATCAAGTGTGGCAGTTTTTCTGAAAGGTAATTTTATCTAGTTAGTGCGTTGAAGACGTTATTTTTTAATTTTCCAAGGGGTTTTCCAAATAATCAGAAAAAAACCTGAAAGAAAATTTTAGGTAAACCGTTAGCGAATAATACCGGGTAATAAATTACCGATTTCATTGTTTTTAGATTCAGTGTGGAGCGAAGAAGCTTATGGTTTTACACGGATATTTATTTTATTATATTTTTTTTTTTTTTTTTTTTGTTTTATCTGTGCGCAAATTTTCTACCAGAATAGTGACATAGATTTTTATCTATTCTGAAAGGAAATCGGTGTGAAAAGATACTTAAGAAAAGTCAAATATCGATATTTTCAGGAGTTTTCTCATCGAATATGAAAAATCGAAAAAAATAACCTGAGGAAAAACGGGAAAATATAAGAAATGCAGGTATTAGTAACGATTTTTCTACCAGAAATTTTGGTTCAATTTATAACGATAGCAATTTTTCTAAAAGGAAATTTGACTTTACGAAAGTCGTTTTTTACCAAGAGTTTTCCCAGCAAATGTGAAAAACCGGAATAAACCGTGGGAAAACCCGGAAAATGTAAGAAAACTGGATAAATCGGTACAACATTAAAGAAATATTCGTAAAGAAAATATATAATGCCTATTTAATTGTTTTACTATAATATGACGTATTATAAACTGTTGATAAAACATCGCTGTCAACTGACCTCCGCTCAGAACCGTTTTTCCGTTAGCAATTGTTTATCGTTAAACAGAGATATACATTAAATTACCTATGACTGTGGCTTCATCCGTCCCCGTTGTCCTAGGACAGCTTTTCTCATAATATATTATACCTATTGAAGGTAAATGAATATAAATCCGGTAGTAACTCAATTTCGTTAGATTCGTTAAATTCGTTAGTTTCCGTAGTAAGTGGATTCATATATTATACACAGGTATAACGGTGAAAACCAATAAATTTTATACTTATAAAAGTACTACTAATAATAAATTTTATTCATACAACGAATTTATGTAGACTGCTATACAATCGTACGAAAGAAAAAAGAAAATTTTCGGGGAGTGGAGGACGTGCCCCGAGTGGCGACCGCACTGGATCGTATATCCGTAGTTATTATAAGTGGCGTCCACTGTATCTTGTTTTTTTTTTTTTTTTGCTACAAATAGCCATTTTATAAATTTATATTCTTAAAACCATTTTCGATCGTTTAATTCATTACCACTTCTATATAATACCGATACCTGAATTTCCCTCAGAATCGTTTTCGCGTAAGTCATGGTTTCTTGTTCCTTACATCAAATTACCCATAACAGTGGCTGCTGCGCCCGGCCCCATTATTCTCGGGCGTCTTTTTAATTTTTTTTACACGATTCGTTTTTTTGAGCTATTGTTTTTTACTCTAAAATTATTACTCCAATTGAAAAATAAAAAATACCAATTTTGTGTTCTTTTAGCATGTATATTCACTGACAAAGAAAGTCGTTTTTGATGATTAAAGTATTACTCTTAATAATTGTGAAAAACTAAGACGGAAAATAAGGTTTTTGTTTTTTTAAATTACTGTACTACGATTTAATTTTTTTAAATTTTTACGGATTTTGTTTTCTACAAAAAACATAGTTCTAATAGAAAAATGACAAGTGACGCTTTTTGTTTCATTTTTAATTTAGCTCATGAGTAAATGATTTGTTTTTTTATTTTCTCGGTAGTTTTTGTAATAATTGAAAAAAACCGAAAAATGAAAATTGATAAATTTAAAGAATTCTTTAATTTTAAATTTGTACGTCTTATTTCTAAAAAAAAATATTAAAAATAAAAATAAAAAATCAATAAGAGGTTTAATTTTTTTTACATTTTTAATCTTATTAGTAAATAAGAAAGCCGTTTTTTTTTTTATTTATATATTTGATAACAGTTCGTGAAAATCGGAAAAAACGTGGAAATAATAGGAAAGTTCAAGAAAATAATTCGTTTATTATTTTAGATTCTGAGTAGAGCGAAGAATTGTATGCTTTTACTAAGATGTTTAATTTTTTTACAACTTTTCTACGAGAAACTTGTTCAGTTTTTTCACGCTAAATTATCTACAACAGTGGCTGAAACCGTCCACATTATCTTAGAACATCTTTTGAATATTGTTTTTGTTATGATTCAATTTTATAATATTCGTAGAGACTTGAAATTGTTTGACATTCTAGTTTTCCGAGAATTTACGTAGTTTTTATTAAGTAGGTACCCTTTGGATAAAAATGACCGAACGGAAAATACTTGAACATTTAACGGGAGTTTATTAGTTGTAATTAATGCTAAAAAATAAATATGATACCGTTGTATTTTTTTTTTCTATTTATAAGCGTTTGAAAATTAATTTGTTGACGAAAATCGTAAGTATTACGGCCTTTCGAAACACGTACCGTAACCGAACTTCGCCCCCGGATCGTTTTTCGCTACCAACGGTTTATCGTCGCTTACGTGTATAAATTAAATAACTACGTTACCCACCCGACCGACTACCCAACTACAACAGTAGCTATTTTCCTTTTTTTTTTTGTTTTGAAAACACCGTTATTTACGTACCGTTCCTCCGTTCCGGCAAAAATTACGAGTAAGAGGACGCTAGAAATAATAATAATAATAATAATAAAAAAAAAAAAATTACAAGTACTGCAGAAGACTCATCCCCGTGCGGCCCCGCCCCCTACCGAACCGAGCACCGATTTAACAATACAATAATAAATACGTAGTAATAGTAATAACAAAAATATTTAACTCACTTTAACGACGACTAATTCACGAACAATGGGACGATGCAGAGAACCGCATAATTTCCTCTACGAGATCGTCCGCTCGCGCCTCGTCAACAAACTGCGTGTTATATTTGTTCGCTTAGAAATGTCTAGAAAAAAAAAAAAAAAAAAAAAATTGTTTTCGTATTTTCGCCGTAGAGTAAATGCACGGCAATTTATTATAATCGTTCGTTTTTTACGATAAAATAGATTTTCGTTCGGCGTGTTCGTTTACGTACACGACGGGTACGTTACTCGGGTACATATTATTATTATTTATTTCGTATTTTTCAAAAAAAAAAAAAAAATTGTTTTCGTATTTTCGCCGTAGAGTAAATGCACGGCAATCTTAATAATGTCGTATTACGCGCGTGGAAAAAAACAGTAATAATAAAATAATTGCTAATAAAGTTGGAATGTTATCGCGAGCATCAACACAACGGCATGGTGTGTACGGTAATATTATCGTACGAATATTACGCGATGTCGAAGGACGCGATTTTCGTAAAGAAAAAATAATAATAATAATAATAATAATAATAAAAAATATTTACGAAAATCCCGTCTCCCGCGCGATCGTCTTACTTGTCGAGCGTATATGCGCACGTCTTCGCCGTCGTCGTCGTCCGTGTGGAGTGGTGCCGGCCTTGCGGACGCGGCCGATAGGAGGGAACTGACGGACACGCAAACCGAACCGATGCTGCCGCGCGCCGCCGACCGGAGTAGGCAACACCACCGCCAGTGCTACGCGATATCGTCGCCGCGACGCTGCAGCTCGGTCTCCTCGGCCGTTGTCTGTGGAAACCGTCGCCGCCGCCGCCGCCGCCGCCGCCGCCGTCTCCCCGTTTTTTTTTTTCCCGCGCCGTCTTCCCGATCCGGTCCAGGTGCGAAACGCGTGGTCCTGGCGAAATATAATAATTTTGTACTCCGATCCGTGCGTCTGCGGATTATTGTCGGCGTTACGTTAGGTATTCGTAGGGTACACAATAACGAGAAAACGATTGCCGCGACGACGCGATTAAAAACCCGTCCGTAACGGAGAAATGACGAATTATCGGCCTTGCCGTATGTACGTGGGGCGCCCGTTACGCGTGTGGGTCGCGATAAAGGCCCCCGGCGCGGCGGGCCGGACAAAGCCGACGCGTTCGCGGCCGTGACAACGGCGAAGCCGCGGCGCGGTCCGGATTACGAAAACTAATACGATACGTACGAAATAGCCACCCGATCCGTTTTCCGGGCGCTAATAAAACGTTGAAGACGCTTTTGCAAAAACCAACGAAGTGTCGAAATGAAATCGTTCGATTTATGTCGGTACGCGCGCGGCGATACTACGGCGGCGGCCCGTAGGCGCGATTACGGGAGAGGCGGGAGAGTGCTAGAGGGTCTTTAGCGCCCCCCGAGTTGAAAGTTAGCACCCGTAAAAAAAAAAAACCGCTAAACATTTTCATAATAATGACTAAATAGTTTATCCGTGTATTTCATAAAATGAGCTGAACAAAAAAAAAACCATAAATCTGTATGTGTAAGATTGTGTAATAGAATACGTAGTTACTTATTGTAAGTCGCGCAAAATAGATTATGGGAGCAGATCACCTCCGAAATTTTAGCACCCATAAAGTTGATAGTCTATTTGCGCTTACAGCCGTCGCTGTTGGAAAACGAATCGAACCGAAACTCGCGGTTATACGCGTTTCGAAATGTCGTGATTCGTGTACATCAAATTTTGATCGTAAAACGCTTACGACGAAGATCGTATCGGATCGTCAAACGTTTCTGTTGAAACGAATAATTTTTAATGCACATTCTGAATGATATCTAAACAAACTCGAAATTGTCAAACGCCTATAAATTGCTCAAAAATCGCCTGTAAATATATGACGAGGAAGGATTTGGATAGGTTAAGTATTTTATTATTATTTTCAAATATCGGGTCTTTATTGTTTTCAACCGAATCGCAACCAAAAAAACGAAATCGAAAATATTGAAACACGTATAGTACCGAAAACTTTCTCATCTTTTCTGGTTTTTCCGAATTATTAAGAAAACTGCACGGAAAATCAGAAAACGACAGTAAATTAAATAACATGTAAATATTGAAATTTGGAACGAGATTTCTGGCATAAAAACAAAAATCAAAACAATTTAAAATTATCAAATCGTTAATGCCGTAAATTTGTTCATATTTCTTTTTCGTTTTTTCTTTTCGGTTTTTTTCAAATTATCATAAAAACCGCCTGGAAAATAAAAAAATGACCAATGAATCACCAAATGGATCTAAAATATAATAACAAATGTCTCTTGTTATGATTTGACTATAGTCAGCTTTCTGGAAGAAAATGTGTATACAGTCACAAAACAATCAAGTTACAAATTAAAGCTTTTATTTCGTTTCCTTTCGGGAAACCTAGGCAATATTTTCTGAGAGTGAGAGTGGTTATAAGCTTAAAATCCGAGAAGAAAAATTGTGAAATTCACAAAATTACCCTTTACCACTATCAAAAAAAAAAATAATAATAATAATAATAATCCAAGCAAGCGTTCAAATAGTTAAAGTACTATAATACACAAAAAAAGGATTATAATTATATACAATTAAAACTATTTTTGTTTTCGTATATTTTACTCGAATAAATATATTTTACTTTTAATAAAAAAAAAAAATAATAATAACTAAAAAACTATTGTTAAAAATAAGCTAAGTAAGAATAAAGATGATAGTCCATCACTTCCTATCTCGTCCATATAAAAACCACTGACGGATCGAACTCTGCCTTTTCACTGTTTGTAATGTGATTACGGTAGATAATTTCAATATTGTTAACCCTTCCGATTTCACAGATATGACGTTTCAATGTGCGTATTAATTAATATCACAATAATATTACAATGATACGACTGCATTCCCTCAATGTATCGATATTGCCATAGTTAAACAACTATAGAACATGTATTGTGATCGGAGATACGACGCGTTTCAGTTATAAACCGAAGCGCACATGTATTTAAAATATTGCAAGTCATTAAAAATATTGAAACGTCCCAGAAAAAAATCCTCGGTAGGCAATGGTTTTCGTGACTAGTTTTCGCGATGTAAAGTGGTAGTGTACAACTCTAAGATAAATTTTCAGGGAATCGTAGCTACGTGGCAACCCGAAGCAATAACATTGTGGGGAAATTTTTACTACGTTCGAACCTGATATTTTTCCAAGGAATTCGGTATCCTAAGCGAAACCTTAAAAACGTTAGTCGTTAAAAAACCGCGTCGGTAAAAATAAAAAGAGAATACGAATGGAAAATGCCACGTCGTCGGTCGTCGTCACATATTGAAGCGGAATAATCATGTACGGGACGATAATACAAAATTATAGTACAACGATATATTTGGAGGAAAAGGCGTTCGCTATGAAATATTGTGACTGGCTCTTTGTCATTTTTCTGACGACCATAACTCTCCGCTAGTACTGAGTAGATGCATGTACTTACACAGTGTACACAAAGACGGAGCATTAAGCCCCGAGGATTGGTAGGCGTGGCTGTGTGACAAACGGATCAAAAGAAGAGTATGAGCGAGAACAGCACTCCGCCTCGGAGGATTGTAAACACAAAAACCGTAAACCTATAAAACAATTTACCGATAGTTCTCGTACCCTCTAAAACAGCATTTGTGAGAAACCGAAAGAGTATATTTAAGAAAATCATAGAAGACAGGCGAAGTGCCGTTCCAGGATTCTTTCGGTGTCGGAGGCGAATTATTGGCCGTAATAAGATATGATAAAAAAAAAAAAAAATAAAAAATATACACCGCGATTCGAACATCGTCTGCGATTAATGAAGTTTTCCGGACCGTTCGGCCGATCGGGCTCGTCGGAACGCGCGCGCTTGCACGTCAATGTATTACCGCGATCGCGGAAAATTACGATTTACTCTCCTAGACGATTGGAATATGGTTAAATAGACACGTGTGCATAGTTATGCGGTGACGGCGGAGTCGGGCCGTTCGTGATTCGCACGGCCGGTCCGCGAATACACGGCGGCTCCGGTCCGGTCCGCCGTTGGCCGTCCGCGCCGAACACTCGCAGTCCGTCCGGCGACCGACGGAAACGCTCGCCGTGCGCGACGTCCGGACGGCGGGAGCCGCGAAGTCGCCGCGTCCGCGCGGCCGGGTGCCCGGACTACGACGCGGTATCGCCGCCGTCGTCGTTGTGCGTTCGCGTGGCCGCGGACGAAATCGACGGATAATCGCGTGTTCGGTGTTCGGAACGACCGCGCGATCATCCGCCGGTATTAACGTTTGCGCGTTCGTTCGCCGGGATAAAACGGTAAAACGCGCGTGTATAAATAATATCATATAACGGCGAGAGAGAGAGAGAGAGAGAGAGAGAGCGAGCGAGACGCGGCGTAATTAAAAAACAATTAGCGCAGCGCCGTCGTGTAACGGCGGTAGCGGGCGGGCGGGCGGGCGGCGCCGCGGCGGCGGCGGCGGTGCTCATTATTGTCAACCGTGGAGACGAGGAGTCGCGCGCGCGTTATCATCGCATCACGAGTCGCGTTTGTGAATTATGTGTTTATTGTTTGTTTTGTTTTGTCGATGTCGTATACCGTATGCGTGCGCGGTGCCACGGAGCGCGTGCATCCGAATGTGTCTAGTGGACCGGAACCGAATTGGCCCGTTCGCCGACACAATCGGCCGCAGCTTTTATTGCGATATTATTATTATTCGAAATACCTACGCAACTATTGTTTTGGTTATTATAATATTATTATTATTATTTATAATATTTTACGCGCGTCGTATTATAATACCATTATCATACGGCTATTGCTCAGACGCGAAGTGTTTGTTTGTTTTTTTTTTTTTTTTTTTTTTTTTTCTGGCTCCGACCCAAACACTATTTACAGGTGCACCGAATCATAATCATAACGTACAAGAGCCGGGTCTCGTTTTCCTTTTTGTTATATACGACTTTACGATTATTATCGATTATATTTTTGTTTTTTTTTTTTTCGTTTTTCAGGCTTCCGTACCGTACGGAAAGGCACTGTATGCTGTTTTACTGCACTCCAATTCAAAAACTGCAGGTAACGGTTTTAAACTGCATTTACATCGGAACGGAGGTGTTTCAACGAAAATGTTTGGAAAAAAAAAAAACAATTTAATTTCAGAGTTTCAAAACACTAATTTCTCTTCCCAATTACAATTTAATCATTGGCGCGTTCAAAAATATTACATTTAGTTAAAAAGCCTTTTTTAAACTCGTCAAATTTCGCAATTTTTATTTTAAATAAATGTAGTTACATAATTTTGACTCTAACGCAACTGAACCGTATTCATTTTAGTAAAAAAATACAATTCGACCGTCCCCGTAATATACGGTACAACGGAAACACGATTGTTACGAGTGTTGGGCCAGTGGCGACCATGTATTTCCGTCCATCCGCCATAAAAAGCTTTTACGCATTTTCTAATGGCGGTGAGATATCGAATTGAAATTCACAAATTATTGATACCGATCGCTAAAAAACACACAATAAAACTAGTTTATTAGGTCCGCTTTTTTTGTCGGATCAAATGTTTCAGTATACAGATTTGTAATATAAACATATAGCTGTATTAACCGTGACTTTATCCACA